TATAAGACCAGGGTTTCATTATAAGGATATTTGGCTTGATATGCAAGAGCATTAAAAATGATAAAACAACAAAAAAGGTCATTGTAAATCCATCGGTTAACATCTTAGGGTTTCTATAAAAATATAATACTTGGCCGTTTACATATTTTTTCAGAATTTTTTGAGAGATTGATTACATATTGTAATGATTCTATGTGGACCATCAAGAAATTAGTTGAGAAGATTAGTCATTAGGGTCAGGGAAGAGTATAATAGTTTTGTATACTGCAGAAACACATGGGAACCATGCAGCAAAGCAAATTACCTAAAAACGTGTGATTTGGAGTGAAAGAGACAGAACTGCCATGTATAAAAACTGATGTGACAAGCAGCCGACCATAGCAGTGAAGAATTCTATCTGGACTCACGTGCTAAATTTGAATCGAAACTTTGACCTTACTTTTGCTTGTTTTGTTAATTACCGAGCATCTTTGTGAAAAATATTTCATCTGAAAGGTTACGTCTCAAACATTGCTTATCTCAGAAAGTTTGCAAAAAGTGCATGAAGAGTGTTTAGTGGTGCTTGATCCATAGTAAATGTGCAGTGAATGTAAGTTCCTGTTAACAAGCTCCCACTATCCACAAAAGCAGACATTTACTTTCATCATCCTACTTGCACACTCAGAGAAATAAAATAATTTCCGTAAGGACTCACAGTCATTAAAAATTTGTGATGGGATTAAAACCATGTCATTTGTAATTACTCAATCAGTTCCCATGCTATCCTATTTACTTTGATTGTTTTCTGAAGTATGATCCCAGGTAACGCATATATAGAGTTTCATTTTTTTTTCCGCATAAAAATTAAGTCTCCAAGACTTTTGATTTTAGTAATTCAAATAAACCCTTACAGTAGGGCAATTAGAAAAAGCTAGACAAAATACTTTCTGCTTAAAGATAAGAGACAGTTATAATAAGGTAGAAATGTATGGATAAATTATTAAAAGAATAGAGTAATACAGAGAGGTTAGCACAATATTTGGACCAGTTTTGTTTTTGTTTTTGTTTTTTTTCCTAAAAAGGGTCCATCAATGTTAGAAGAGGCAGCTGAAACTCTGCCTTCTTGATATTCTAATTTTCTTATGCATTGAAAAATTTCTTTAAGTAAATAAATAAATAAAAAGCTACCCACGAATGTGTCCTAACCTACCTTTTCAAGTTTATTCCCATTAACTCTTGAACATCGTTTGTTGTTTCCTTTGCTGAGATTGTCCAATGTTGTTCACTCTGTATAACGAAATAGTTCTATTTTCCTAACTCCAAATTTATTTCCTCCATGAAGTCAAGATAGGATCTAAATGAAAAATCATTTCATTTGCTCACTTTCTTTGCCTTTCCCTCAGCAATGATCATATTCTCTTTTATGTATACATGTTTGAGTATATGCCTGTCACTTCACAAGCATTTTAGATGTTTTGGAGAAGGGACTATAATTTTCTTATATTTTTATGCCCCTGCTATGATGAATACAGAAATGAATTAAGTTTTGTGGGACCTAAAGCTTATGCAATTGCAGAATGAAACTCTTTAATATAAAGAATACAAAAATCCAGATACAAAATTAAATAGAGTTCTTTGGAAGGCTCTCATGCAAGTTAGGGCTCCTAAAGCTTTAGCTCAATAGTTCTATAGTAAATCTATTTTGGGTCAAACATGAGGTACAAAGTGTTTGGTTTACAGAAGTAAATCCTCATTAAAGAGATCGTGTTCATCAATGTTTCAAGATGTTTTCTCTGTGACGTGTGAGACTTTTTCTACTCCTTTATATCTAGACCTCAAAATAATCTGAAACAGATGAAGTGGTAGCAGTGGCCCTTACATCTCACATTCTGGGTTCCCTTAGCACGCTTGTGTTTTTTAAAAGGTGATTAAGTCTTAGATATGGAGCCAAATAGAATAAGGTCTTACTTGGAAAAAAATTTTTTGAAAGTTAACATTAAACACAAGGCAAAGCAAAGCGTAGAAAACAGTTTTTACTTTAACTGCTGACAGCTTTTAAGCCTCACCCCTCCCTCTACCCCTTCTGCCCCACATCTGGGCAGACTGATAAGAAAGCCCATTTGCTCTCTTCTTTGGCCTCAGCAGAAAATCCAAACAATGTTAACCCCAGCTGCCATACATATGAAAACCTTCACCCCACCCCCCTAACCACAACAAAACCCCAAACCAGTCTTCTTTCCTTGCTCTTTCAAGCCATTTTCACACATACTTGGGAGCTTGCTCTGCTTTCCTCAGAAAGCCTCTTTATGTGAGTGTTAAACCTTCCTATACCTTCTTGGTGTGTGTGGAATCATCAGTTAACACTCAGATCAAATTCTAGAGGGAGGGATAGTCCATATAGTCTCTGTAGTATTTACACGACATGGAAACATTTCCTCCTCAGTATAGAACAGAGTATCTCATTTGATGGAGCCAACAACCTGAAGTGCATTCACAGAAATTTTAAGTAATATTATTTGAGAATTAAGCAAAATATTGAGACCAGCAGAAGGCATAATGGTTACATAGCTGGACTCCAATATGGCTGAATATGGTTCAAGACCTGGTGGCTAGAGACTCACACTGGGTACATGAGCATGCATGCCAAAATCATGAGAGGAGAACAGAGGAGAAGGGAATGCAGCATGGCCATTTCCCCAGGAGGCTGATTTCTCACTTTTTGTCTCTGTCTCTCCATCAGGCACATGCACCCTTAAAAAACAAAACCAAAAACAAAAAAGCAGAATATTGGATGCCACAAACTTTAGTTAAAATATTGGATTTTATTCCATAGGCAATAACGTTTCATTCAAGAAAATTGACTAGGATAGTGGTGCTATTAAATATATGCTTTTAGAGGATGTATTGAACAACTCTGCTAATTCATAGTTAGAGAGATGGCCATAAGGAAAAAAACATGAAGACCTTGATGAGATGGATCCTGAAGGGAAAGAGGCAGGATTAGAGGAACCTCCATGTTGCAGACACTGCCTCTAACAAGGGCAACAAGTGCTTTGATGCAGTGTTCAAAGTGCATATTAAGTTCATGCCAGGGCAGTGCTATTGTGTGACTAGGACCATGGCAGTAGAAACAGGTACTTAGTTAGCGATACAGTGGAAGAGTTCTGTCACAAGCCCTACCCATACACAATAGTGTGGAGCAGGATCCAGACCTGAGAAAGGTGACCCTTCACAAGACAGACTGGGTTCCTTCTCTCCTAACATTAGGTTCCCATCCTACAAATGTCAGAGATCTAAGCAAGAGAGGTAATAAGACTGTGAGAGGAGTGCCCCCGTAGAATCCCAGCATGATGATCTGCACTAATAGAAAAAGCCACAGAAAGTGGGGGCCACTTGGAAATCTGGGTATCTTTGGTCATATTTCTGAAAAATATAAGTATCCTAGAGAGAAGTGTGAGATTATGGAGTGGGAGACATTGGAATTCTGTTATTACCTTAGGGCACAGAGCCAGTGGTTTAGAGAACAAGCTATAGGCTAAGATTAATGGTGAAACTAAAGTTAACTGAGGTCCAAATCTCAAAGTTCTATTTGTGCAACATTTTCTGAGGTGACTGTCTTATCTACAGATGACTATCTGTCTAGCTACTTGATCTACCAAGTTTATCCAGCCTCAGTTTGGGGAGATCATAGAAAGCGTTTCATGCCTCCACCTTGCTACTATTTACATAGGAAAGAGAGTAAGACAAGGCATGTTCAAAGTAAGGTCAACTGGATGAGAAGGAAAAATGCTAAGGGACATAAAAGAAGTGTTATTTAGTCACTTCTCTCAGCTGGAGATAGAGTCAAAGAATAGTACTGGTCTTAGCAATTAGTACTAGTAATTGATGTATGGTTTAAGATGTTTAACAGAAGGATGAATAATGGCTTAAACAAATGCCCATTCCCTTTCTCATTAGGTAGAAAGTCCTGAGGTTGATTGCTAGGTGGACATCATGCTTGTGCTCAGCATCTTGGCCAGTCTTTTCTTTCATGGTCACAAGATGGATGCAACAATTTCAGGCATCTTTCTCTCAAGACCTCATACAAAGGCAGAAGTTGGACAAACCTGTCAGATATCTGTCCCTTATCAGAAAGGAAATATATTTCTGAGGACTTCCTACCAACAGCATGTTATATCTTCAGCCAGAACTATGTAATAAGCTCATATATAAATGAATTGTTGAGATCCAATAATATTTAAACAGAGTTGGGGCATTATGAACAATAAAGAGGAAATGATCTATGAATGCATGAATAATAGTCTGTATACCATAGGGTTAGAATTTCCCCTTTCAATTATCTTCTGCATTTAAAGATAGTGACCAAAGCTTCAACTTAGAAGTTTCTGGTGACATACTGTGTGTGTGCATGTGTGAAAAAAAATCCTGAGAGGAGAAGGGATTGTGACATGACCATTCCCCCTGGGGGGTGATTTATAGTTTTCTGTCTCTCTCTGGTGAGCACATGTGCCCTATAGAAAAAGGGAAGAATTTTCTGGTGATTTTTTTTTAAGAGAGAGATTTTTGTTATAGGGAGCATGTGCTCACTGGAGACACCATAAAACAGAGAGACATAAAGCCATAAATCATCCCCCAAGAGGGGTTGGCCACTCTGGAATACCTTCTCCTTCTTTCTTCTCTTGGAATTTTGGGCACACATGCAGTTTCCAGCCTTTGGGTCCAGAACTCAAACTGCAGTCAACTACATGGGAGTCCAACATAGTCAGACCATCTGTTGGTCCCAATCATTGTTTTTAATATAGTGATTGGCCAGCACTGGAGATCACTTGGGGCAGTGAAGTTGGCCTAAATTCACACTTTAGAAGTAACCATCTGCTTTTCTTAATTTATCCACAAATAGAGACAAATCTAACCTACCCACAAATAGAGACAACTATATTCTTATACTTTAAATACTTTCTCAGGATATTTTTTTTCCTTTTCCAAGATTTACAATCTCTGATAAACCCACTTACCTCTGTTTCCTTGGTTAGGTTGCAGTTTATATGGTGATGTTTGGCCAAGTAGCTTCTCTTCTAGCAGGCAGAGACTTATCTCCTCTTCTTTCAGGAGGAGTTGCCCTTTCTTAAAATCTCTAAATGAATAATAAACATGATTTAAGCCTGTTGTTCATCAGATAGTAAACTGACCTGACCTTTTTTCTATATACGAACTCCAAAAATTACTGCCCAAAGATATGCAGTAGTATACTTTTAGTTACTAAAATTCTTTGGGAAATGTTTTAATTCATTTTTTGCACCTAATATATTGGGGGAACAAGAAGTATGTGAAGATTGTTCTCTTCTCTCTTTTGCTTGTTTCTTTCCCAAAACTCAACCCTCCATATAACTGAGACTGGCCGTTCCATGTGATGTTTAAATCCAATTACACATCCCTAAATGTGTTCTGTTGAGTTGTTGGGAAAGTCATAATGCATTTTTGCATAGAAAAACAGAAAAATACATCATAAATTTTCAGATAACCCAATAAACACAGCTTATTAAATGTTAACATAATACAAAGCATAAAAAGAACAATGTATTACATCCATCTTCTTCCATTAAAGCTCAAAGATAAAGACTGAAATGTGCTTTATTCTGATAATAAAAATGAAATTTAGGGGCCAGCAGGTGGCACAGTGGTTAAGACACTGAACTCCCACATGGCCAACATGGTTCTAGTCCCAGACCCAGTGACTTGAGAATCTCACCAGGCGCATGTGCATGCTTGCCCAAAATCACAGGAAGAGAATGGAGGACAAGGGATTGCAGAATTGCAGCATGGTTTTGCCCTCTTAGGGGTGATTTCTCACTTTTCTTCTCACTGTCTCTCTCTTCAGAGAATACATGCATTCTATGGCAAAAACCTTAAAAAGGAAGAAAGAAATGTACTTGCCTGTACATTATAAGTCATCTCTAGTGAGTGAACCATAGTTAAGTCTCACCATCTGCTACAAACTAATCAGTTGAGTCTATCACTAACCAATTACTTCAAGGGAAAAGCAATGTGAGCTCCACCAATATGAGATCCTCTGGCTTGAGTTTTTATTTATTTATTTATTTATTTATTATTTATTTATAATTTATTAACCTTCATAAAGTCCAATAACATCAAACCTATGCTTAGAAAATTTCACTCTCTATAACCAAAGTTTTTTGTAAATATATGATTCAATCCAGTAGATGAGTTTTGCTATTTTTTTAACTAAAACAGTTACAAACATATGGTTAAAATTAAGCAGTTAAACCAATAAGCAAAAATGCAATTTATTTAATAGTACCACAATGATGCTAAAAATTAGAGTTCTCAACAGCTGATATATCCTTAAGACTCTCATTGATAAAGTGTTTTATCTACTTTCTAAAGCTTATTTGTTCTTCATGCATGAGAAAGACATAGGTACACATTCGTAGCCAGGTCTCAATGCTGTTATCCATCCCCGGCTTAAGCCAGCCCAGATCATGAGCACATATGCACCCAATATACTTTAAAAGTCTCCAGATGGGAACCCGACCCACGTGGGTCTGCCGTAGAAAGGGTTGCCTTTTATTGCCACTCCCTTATCGGGCCAAAATCTTGCTGTATCTTGATGTTTGTCTTTTCTTATTGACGATTTTGAAGTTATACAATCACAATCTAAAGACTGATACTCAAGTTGCTTAAATTAGAAAAACTGTTCTGACCTTTCTTTGGAAAATATCAGAGAGGTAAAAAGTTTTCCTCATGCAGGAGGAACTTTTGGAATAATGAGAAAGTTCTAGGAAACTCTGAAGACCTTCCCAATTCCAATGGTTAGAAAAAGAAAACAAAGTATCTAGTTGTGCAGAGCAATAGCTTTGTCATTAACTGGTATCTATATCTTCCTGATTTCTGTCTGAATAAAGAACTCATGATACCAGATAAGAATAGCTAATTTTGAAAATATCTCATGTAATAGGTTGAAAACATACCCCAATAACTTTTTTCAGACTTGCTTGACACCCCTGGATATTTTAATCTAAAACTCACATCATGTATTTCTTCTTATTCTAAAATAACCTCATTTCTTTATATATCAGAATTTCTTTCCCATTAGTAAAAATAAAATCCTGTAGGTGCAATTTTGTTTTCTTTATACTTTGGGGGCTAAATTTAACTAATTAACATTTTAATAACATTCTACCATTTGTTCCTGCAGAATTAGGGGACTTGCTTAAGATAGATTAAGATATACTTTGAACCATCTGGAATTCAAGCAGCTTTGATTTTAAATAAGTACTTGTTTTCTTATATGCTCATGGACTTTTTGGAGTGATTAACATATAGGCCATAAGGTAAACTATGGAAAGAATGGAATTTATTTACTTTTATTATACTTCTCACACTCACAAGATTCTGAATTGCTTCCCTAAATGAGACTTAAATATTGGTGAGTAACCTGGCAAAACAAGCACTCCAGGTAATACTGTGAAATCTTACTGATTCAGAATGATTTGAAGGAGTTCAGTCTACATGGAAAAGCTTTTGAATTATAAGATTGTCAGAAATGAACACTTTTATTACCTTTAAATGTACATGTAGTAATTCAAACAAATTTAAGGCACGACTGATGATAAAGATGTAATGGAACCTGGTTTAATGAGTGACTAAGGCCTAGTTCTATGTGAAGGACAAATTGAGGACAATAGTCCAGGTGAGGCATATGTTTTGTTGGGACTAAAATGGAGGGCAAACTTTGGATGTGATTGGCACAGAGGTAGAAAGCATTGAATTTGATGTGAGGCTTTAAGACCTATAGATTGGATAAACTAGATGGCTCCTTCTAAATTTAAGCCACTGAGATAATTCCCTATGGGATCAATAGCACTAACTCAAATAATCTTTGTTAGCTGTGGGCAAAGAACAAGAAAGGAAACTGAGAAAGGCAAACAATACGAAATAATTGAAACTTGGAATACCTGAGAAGTTTTGTAAACCTGCAATGGCCCAGGTTCTAGGATTCTGCATTGGATATGGTGCTAAGCCTGGTCCACAGTGACAAGTCTGCTCAACTGAAATTCCAAACTAAGGGATAGCCCAGAACCTCTTAATTCCACATGGAACTTGTACCAATGCATATGCCTTTACCTCTACACTCTTGACCCATGACTTTGTCATATTTTTTTTAAAAAACTGAGAGTGGGCATGTGCTCTTGCCAGAGAAAGAAAGGGTGAGAGAAAAAAACAAATCCTGGTTTTCAGTTTCTCCATCCCATCAGAAGTTTGGCCACATATGTGCATGCATCCAACATTTTGACTCAAACCATGGTTGGTGGGATCAGCAGTTAGCGTAAAGGCTACATCTCTGGACTCCCATGTAGTTGACCGCAGTTCGAGTCCCAGACCTGGTGGCTTGAACTCACACAGGGAGCATGTGCATGCGTGCCCAAGATCCAGAGAGGAAAATGGAGGAGAAGGGATTGCGGCGCAGCCATCTCCCCTGGGGGGGTGATTTCTCGTTTTCTGTCTCTCTGTCTTTCTGGTGAGCATACACGCCCTATGGGATTCAGAACTTAACCACTGTGCCATGGGACCGTCCCTGTCATAATTCTTTCTTTCATGCTTTCATAAATTCACCTGCAGCCAAAATTCCTCTGTTCTTTCTCCTTTAACCTGTCAATATTCTTACCTTCTTATTTTTATCACCATTCATTATTTTATTATTTACACTCAGAAAAGACACAAATGACATTTTCTATATTTTTAAATTGAGTACTAATATATTCATTTATTTATACCACATGTAATAATTCCATATTCTTTTCTGTCTGTAGTCTTATTTAATATTTCTAATAACTCTGACAACAATGTATTCTGTTAGTTTGTAAGTAGGAACTGAGGTCCAACAACTTAAGAGGCTTATTTACAATTATGGGGACATTTCTTGATTCTGCTTAATTGGGCATAGAACAAGTTAGTTTTAATTGTGGAAAATGTGAGAGAGAAAGAGAGTAAGAAAGGGCATGGTCATCCATGAAACAGTGAGACTCTTCTGAAACATTTCTCTAAGTAGACCTAAGTGCTTCTTAATTTTTTTCCAGTTAAACAACAATCTAATGTAGTAAAATTGTCATATGACAAGTACTCATTTGATGACATTTCTTGATTGTACAAAAGAAACACCAAAACTCTGAAATCATAAATTTGCTTCAAATTTTTGAGTTCTGCTTCCTTTCTTTTTAAATTTTTTTATATATTCCATCACTGTACATCACCACAGCATGTAAAATGAATTTACCCAGCATAAATGCACTACACACCAGTCCAGTTAAAGGTATTATCATACACATTATCAACAGACAATGCTTCATTTTTGTCCCTTAAATGTCTTGTCTATTTTTCTCCTTGATTCTTTTCCTCTCACTTTCTCTCCCCTTTCTCCCCTCCTCCCACACTGTCTTCAGTATCCACAACACTCTCCATGCTTCTATATCCTCCAGTCTTTCAGTTTCCACCATAGAGTACAGACATTCAGTATATATTAAGTGGAGACATAAAATGTCTCTCCTTTGTAGTCTGGCTTGCTTCATTCTGCAGTAAATTTTCGGTATTTTTCCACTTTCTATAAAATGCTAGGTTGTTGTTTTATTATGGCTGAATAATATTACATAGTGAATATGTGCCATACTTTTTCAATCCATTCATCTGTTCATGGATATTTGGATTGGTTCCATGTTTTACCAATTGTGAATAATGCCGTAGTAAACATGGATGTCCAAGCACTTTTCCAACAAAGCATTTTTCTATCTTTTGGGTAGATACCCAGGAGTGGAATTGCTTAATCTTATAGTAGTTCATCTGTAGGTCTTTGAGGTACCTCAACGTTGTTCTGCACAGTGACTGTGCAGAACTAATTTACATTCCCACCTGTAATGTAGGAGAGTTCTCTTTTCATCACGGTCTCATTAGCACTTATTCTTTTTTATATGATCTTAGTCATTCTGACTAGGGTTCAGTGGTATCTCATTGTGCTTTTGATTTGCGACTCCCTTATAATAAATGATGTTGAGCATTTTTAATTTGTTTTTTGGTTGTTCATATGTCTTCTTTAGAGAGATGTCTGTTCAGATCATTTGC